TAAAGCCCAGAAGAATCACTAATGCCCCCTTCCTTCAGTTAAGATTCCCAATCCTACCAGCTCCCTTCCTGGTCTGCATTTGCTATGCAATGTGACCCCATCAGCAGGGGCCTCATCTCTCTTATGCATGGAATGCAGAGGAGGAAAGGTCAGTGAGAGCTTGGAGACGAGTGGCTGCTGCTCTACGGCGACCTTTCCTCATCCCAGGGAAACAAGTGCCCCACATGGGCCAGACCCTCCCAGCCGCCCCAGGAAACGCCATTGTGCACAGCATGCCTGAACACGAACAAGGGACACAAGGCACTGTAAGGCAGAGATGCTCTAGGGCACTAGAGCACACAGCTGGCTGGACCCACACTCCCACGTCTCTGCATCAGGCACCCTGGCATCTGCCAGGCTGAACAAGTTCACTGGCCAGACACACACAGGTCCTCTCCCGTGAGCCCCACAGGCTGGGGCCCTGCCAGGAGCGGGATCTGCTCAGCCATGAAACAAGGCTGGGGAAGCAGGGGAGAATGTTAAAGCCAGCACCCTTCTCTCTCACTCACCCCCTCTGACACCGCCTTATTCACCACTGTCATATAATTAGGACATTTTGTACAAAGTATGCCTTCTCAGGTATCATTCTCCAAGTCTTGATTTGCTAGACAGTAATCTCTCATGGATCGTAGGCGCTATTGTCGTGTGAGAAGTTCGGCTACATATGTGCTACTGAAACCTGTTGTGAGGTTGAGAATACTCACAAGCCACCTTTCAGGTACAACAACAGAAAGGCCAGACAGTGTTAGTGACTCATTGAGGAGATGCACACAAGCACCAGGGTTACCCCAGGAACTGTGTGCAACAGAAACCTCTCAGAGACAGCCCTACACACTGGGAACTGTTTGACCCAGGTCACAGCCAATGTTCCCCGTAATTTTTGACAGGCCATGTGTGCAAAAAATTTCTTCTGAGCAAACTGTTGTGCTTCTGTGCAAATTTTTGTGTGCGCGGTGTTTCGCTGTGTGCGCGGTGTTTAGGATCTGTGTGCGCACATACGCACAGCTTAGAGGGAACAGTGGTCACAGCACAGGAGCTTTCCAGCAAGTTGGAAGAAGATATTAAAGGGGGACATGACATCATGAGGGGACCTTGTTCTCCCTACACCACCACACCTGAAAGTACCAGAGGAAAAGGACTGAACTCGGGGAGAGGGGAGAGAAAAAGAGTGCTGGTTCCAGGCTGTGTATGGAAACTTGGTGGACTGCTTGTATCATCAGTCAGGGTGAGAGATTACTGATTCAGATCCTATCTAATACTGTAGACTTAGTTTGCATTTTGTTTTATTTATTATGGTAATCTACTCTGATCTGTTTGCTATCACTTATAATCACTTAAACTATCTTTCCGTAGTTGTTAACTCTATTTCATATTTTACCTAAAACACTGTTCATTGACGTTCAAAGGGGATAAATCTCAGCTCATGAACAAGAGTTGGTGCATATCCACTTTCCTTTGTAGAAGTGGCAGACTGGGTAATAAATTCATACTGGTTGGGTTTTGACTAGGGCAGGATGGTACAGTTCTGGGGTCTTGGGCTGGGGAGCTGGTGGTTATTTTGGCTGTAGCCTCTCTATTGTGGCTTCATGAGTGGCTGGCCAGAGCATTCATGAACACAGCTGGGTATAGTCCCTGCCTGTGGATGCTGGTGTGAGTGCAAACTTGGAGGGCTTTGCAGCTTGTCACAACACCACAGTTGTGACATTATCTGATTAAAATATGACCATGTAGATCGTTGTTGCTACCACTGTTATATAATTGCAACAAATCTTGTTTGTTAGTCTCTAAGGTGCCACAAGTACTCCTTTCCTTGTACAAAGTGTATCAAGTAAGGCATCTATGGAAATGTTATGATTTGCTGAATATGATTACACCATTTGTATGCATGTATCGTTTTTGTATCTGAAGTTATGAATATTAACTATGTACCTGTTTTTCATAAAAAGAAAAGGAGTACTTGCGGCACAGTGGAAAATGTATGCATCCGATGAAGTGAGCTGTAACTCATGAAAGCTTATGCTTTAATAAATTTGTTAGTCTCCAAGGTGCCACAAGTCCTCCTTTTCTTTTTATGGATACAGACTAACACGGCTGCTACTCTGATATCTGTATGTTTGCGCTCCTGTGGTAAGACCCACAAGCTATTTAGCCTCCACATCTTGAAGGGACTATTCAAGATACTTTCACGAAAGCTTATGCTCAAATAAATTGGTTAGTCTCTAAGGTGCCACAAGTACTCCTGTTCTTTTTGCGAATACAGACTAACACGGCTGCTACTCTGAAACCTATTCAAGTTAAATGGCCCATCAAGGAACACTTAACTCACAATGGACCGTGGAAGACACCCATCCACACCTGATGGACTTGCCTGTGAACCTTCTAGAGTATGGGTGATGGCCTCTACTATGACTAAGCGAAGCAGACAGACATGTGACTTGTCCATGTGACTCCAAACCCCATCTTGTTACCTGTAATTTTCCACCAGTTAGAACAATGGGTTTCCCTTCACTTGGAGGAAGCTATAACAGGCCCTGGAAACATCTCCATTTTGCCTCTTTCCTGCTCAAACCTCTGGATTATGGACTTACACTCATGGGAGCATTCTAACCAAAGAGTGAGGACCTTCCAATGATTTGGAAGCAACCAGAGACTTAACAAGCCAGCAGTTTATTCCATCACTGCTTCAAGCCTGATCCAAGAACCTTGCAATTGTTGTATGTATTTGATTCCTTTAACCACTTTTAACTCTCACCCCTTTTTCTGTTTTATAAATGTTTAGATATTAGATACTAAAAAATTGGTAACAGTGTGATTATTGGGTAAGATCTGAGTTGTATATTGACCTGGGTATGTGGCTGGTCCTTTGGGATCACAACTACCCTTTTGTTTGATGAAATTGGTTTTAAATAACCACTCATCATTAAGTCTAGTGTCTAGGTGTTGAATTCAGGGCTGGAATACCTAAGGAGGCTGCTTTCCTGACTTCTTCTTAGCCAGTGTGGTAAGACAGAAGTTTACTTTTCAGAGTAGCAGCCGTGTTAGTCTGTATTCGCAAAAAGAAAAGGAGTACTAGTGGCACCTTAGAGACTAACCAATTTATGTGAGCATAAGTTTTCGTGAGCTACAGCTCACTTCATTGGATGCAGAAGTGAGCTGTAGCTCACGAAAGCTTATGCTCAAATAAATTGGTTAGTCTCCAAGGTGCCACTAGTACTCCTTTTCTTTTTAAGTTTACTTTTGTTGCTGGTTTGGTATATCTCATGGAAGAGGTGTGTCTGCCCTTTCCCCCAGCAGCTTGTCCTGAATTTGGTATTCTTTGATGTAACCCAGGGAGGCAGAGTGACAACAGTGCAACAGTGAACCCAGATTACTGAGAGAGGGCTCAGCTGTACCTCAGTTCCAGGCAGCACCCCGAGGGGGAGGCGGGGGACACTGGCCACACACCCCTTCTAAAATATGCGGCACTTGCTCCTCTTCTCCAGCCAGGAAACAGCAAGGAGCTGTAGGCCACCAGGTGTCATGGAAGAGTAACGCAAGGCTTGTGCAGAGCTCCTAGGTCCCTGCTGAGAGCAGCAGTGACTGTTCTCTTTCCAAAAGCAATAATGGAACCTGAGCCATGGCTGCAGGTTGGTGCTGAAAAATCATGATCAGGACGCACCATAAATTGAAAAGGAAATGAGTGATAGAGGGTTGGCCAGTGAGCTCCGGCAGGTACTTATGATCCGACACACAAACTGTGAGAAGGAGAAGCTGCTGGGTATTTGGGCAATGCTGGTTTTATGACGTTAACAAGGCAGCAGCATGGGTCTTTAAAGCATCTTATGTCCACATTTTATACTCTCCTCTCACTCTGGGCAGTTAAGAACAGAGAGGGGTTGCATGGAGAGGCAGCACAGGAGGAAGAGAGACTCAAAGGAGCTTAGGGCGAAAGTCATTTTGAAAAACGAATTCCCTTCCCTGTGTTAAAAGGGACAACAGAGCACTACTTTTATTAACCTTATTAACGGAATATCTCAATCACCCGATTTACTTTGTACTGCAAAACACCATGAGAGGCTAGTGGCATTCGCTGCCCATCACTCTTTCGGGTTCTTGCAAATGCTGCCAGGGAAGGTTTTAAAACCGTTTTGACTCGATTTTTTTAAATTTGTGGGAACCGTCCTGTTGTCATTACATTAGTTAAACTGGTTTGTACAAAACCTACTTTTGGGGCCAAACTGACCAAGCCATGTTGTTTTAAGGGTCTGCTCCAGCAATGATCGCCCTCAAAGGTCTCCATGTACCTCAGAATTACATGGCAAGAGACAAACATACACCCAGAGGGTTGGAGGAGGCGGCCAAGGCCCAGTAATCCCCATAACAGAAAGGAGGCAGGATACATGAGGACTGGGGGGTTGAGGTACGAGTGGATATTACCAAGCTACCTCCCCCCACAGGGTTGTGAGGCTGAGGGAGCATGAAGGGCTTTGACAATGCAGTACACCACAGGGCACTGCTGTGAGAGTCAGGGCTATTTATACAGATACTTCAGCCAAGTGGCTTGGAAAACAAGGCTGGTGGGGAAGCATTCCAGCCCCCAGTGCAGCTAAAACTGGGGAGGACACACATGGCAAACAGTCGCCCTCAGCTCGACAGACAGGCGTAGCCCATGAAGAGTACAAGTTCCAGAACACACTGCACCATGAAGATGGAGCACTGCATGCTGGGACCTGTGGTCTCCAAAGGCTGCTGCTGCGATGGGTAAAGAGGAGAGACTGCAATCTGCTCTGTTCTCCACCCATGGGTTTGACCCAAAGAGTCCTGGCCAAAGTCCTGCTGACGTGCAAAGACGACACATCCCTGAAGCCTGCATGCACAGTACCACAGCCCACTCTACTAACACACGTGCAAAGCAGGTTGTAGCCCTGTGCGCATGCATCACAATACTGGGAGGTCCCAGCCCCAACAGCCAAAATACTCACTAGTTCAATGCCCTGTGGGAAGGGGTTATCTTCCCAGTCCTTCTCCGGGAAGCGCTGGAGTATCTGCCCCTGGCCATCTCTGCTCCCTACAAAAATAAGCAGAAGGAAAGTGTTAGAAGAACGCAGGCAGCCTTGCTGCTGCAGCCAGATGCCATTTCGACCTCCTGCCAGAGCCAGGCAGTGAGCAACAATGGCAAACTGCAGAACTGCACACTAGCAGCGCCTTGCGGTAACCCTGCGTAGGTACAGCGCAAACATGAACTAACCCTTACACACGCCCTGGGAGGAAAGAATTCTCTCCATGGTACATGTGGGGAACCAGACGGAGGGAAAGTTATTTTTTCCCCAGGTTAGACAGCAAGGAAGTAGTAGAGCTATGTTAGAAGTCAGAACTTTGACTCCTAAACCAACAACCACCCTTCATATGCCCCAGGTACACACAGCAGGACCCTTACCCCAAACACAGCAAAGCAACAATGGAGAGTGCATTCAAACTGACCCAATTTAGCACCTTCCTAGAGCTCAAAGAAATTCGGCTACAGAGAACCACATGTCCTGAGCTATCAAACTACTCACAGATGCAGCGCGTCTTCAAGGTGAACAAAAATGTGAAAAGAAGCTGTGTAACACATCACTGGTTAGGTTAAATCTCAAATTTCCTTCCTTGTGTTACTAAAATAATATAGAAGCTGAAAGATTTGAACAGTAATTCCCTTTTTCACCATCTGCAGTTTGTATTTTGCATTTCACTCAGCTTGGACCACAGAAATACATAGGCCAGTTTAACATTTTGGTTCCTAAACACCAGCATAAGGCTGCAACTTTCGAGTTGCAAACTCTGCAAGAAGAAAAGGAGTACTTGTGGCACCTTAGAGACTAACCAATTTATTTGAGCATGAGCTTTCGTGAGCTACAGCTCACTTCATCAGATGTTTACCGTGGAAAGTCTGCTGCAGTTTCCACGGTAAACATCTGATGAAGTGAGCTGTAGCTCACGAAAGCTCATGCTCAAATAAATTGGTTAGTCTCTAAGGTGCCACAAGTACTCCTTTTCTTTTTGCGAATACAGACTAACACGGCTGTTCCTCTGAAACTCTGCAAGGAAATTTATAATCCTAAATGAGTGACTAATACAATGCTATTAAGGTCTGTAGAACTTTCTAGTCTCCCCTTTTAGATGCCAAATCATTAGCAGAAAATCTCACATGTATTCTAGTGGATGAGGCATGCAGTGGGGAGTCAGGACTCCCAAGATGGATTTCACTTCTACCATCTATTCAGCGTAGTCATGGATAGCACTGACCTCTCCCATAGGAGTATGGTGGGGATCAAGGTTTGCACACCACCATTCTAGTGCTCAGTCTGTATAAACTTCAACACTTCAGCTTTTGAAAGAGGACTCAGAAAGGTACTAACCAGCTGAGAAATATGTACAGAGCCCTGTGCTTCCACAGAATACAGTAACTCCGCACTTAACATCCTCTTGATTAACATTGTTTTGGTCTTACGCCCCTGCTCCATTACTGAACATGCTCGTTTAAAGTTGTGCAATGCTCTGCTATAACGTCGTTTGGCCACCTGCTTTGTCCACAGCTGGCAGCCCCCCATCAGCTCCCCTGTGCCCCTCTACGATGCCTCCCGCCTGCGGATCAGCGCCTTCCCCCTGCTTGCCTCGCCTCCTGCCCATGGCACTCAGCTGGTTTGCAGCGTTCTGGAGGCTGGGGGGAGCGGGGAGGAGCGAGGACAGGGCTCACAGCCTCCCACTCCCTCCCCTGCCTCCTGTACACAGCAAACCAGCTGACTGCTGCGGGCAGGAGGCTGAGGAAGCAGGGGAAAGGCGCTGATCTGCAGCTGGGAGGGGGTGTATGTGTGTGTGGTGGGGAGCGGGGGGGCGTAGGGGAGCTGATGGGGGGCTGCCAGCCTGTTTAATACCTGTACTAATTGCTTGTTTAAAATTGTTAAAAACTTATACCTGTATTAAATTGCTTGTTCAGAATGGTTTAAAATGTATATAATGCCTTCTATCTGGCAAAAAAAAATTCCCTGGAACCTTCCCCCTCCTCCCCATTTACATTAATTCTTGCGGGGAAATTGGATTCAGCTAACGTTGTTTCGCTTAAAGTTGCATTTTTCAGGAACTTAACTACAATATTAAATATGGAGTTACTGTAGACACCACCCCTAATCCTGGGACAAAAAACAGGGAGCAGCAGTCCATAGAAACACTAGGTGACATGTAAATAGATGCTTGCTGTACCATTAACCTTTCCTTGGAAAACACCTCGTGAATTTTAGCTGGTAAAATACCTTCTGGCTCTTTGTTTATAGAGGGGTTAATTCCTTGCCAAGCCTTCAGTTACCAAAGCGATTGCCCTAATCCTTCATCCTGAACACCTTCATGGCTTTGCACAGTCTCCTCGACCAGCTGCAGGTGTACTACGTTCTGTCAAAACAGAGTCCGCTGCCAGTGGGCCTCACCATTTACAGAATACAACCCCAGCTGCAGAGGACATCATGCTCCCCACCCTTTCAATCTCTCTAACCTCACTTGCAGACTGCTTTCTAGCCACAGGGGCCGGCTGACCCTGGCATACCTCTGGGCCATGTAGCGGGAAAAGCCTCACTCCAAAATGCATAGACCACTGCAGGACTATTTTGGGAGCAAGAACAGTTTCTACCTCTCCGCTTACCACCAGCCACCCACAGCTGTATTTAAAAACACAGACAACAGAACACATGCCCATTATAGTCCAAGGACCAAAAAGGAAAGGTCAGCACCAAGTTATGTATATAAAGAGTGTCCAGTGTGATGCTAGCGTGTGCTCCCTTTCCCTGCCCTCAGACACTACCTCTCTCCACCCACTACTGTCTCATGTACCTCCTCTCAGACAGCAACACTCACTTCAAGACCTACCGGACCCAACAGCTTTGATTAGAAATTTAATACCTGCCCTCCCACAGCTTGACCAAAAAGAAACAAATGCAGATTCATGTAAGGCACTTGTGTCAAGTTGGGCATAAATCCTGCTACTGGATTTTGTAGCACCCAAGAACTGAGTTTCTATGGCAAATTGGACATTTTACGGTGTTCCAAGTAAATCCAAACAGGGATGATCCAATCAGCGCATTTCCATTCATTACTCCGCTTTTCATAGATTTAGATCCTAGGGCCGGAAGGGACCACTCTGATCATCTAGCCTGACCTCCTGTGTGCCACAGGACTTCCAGAAATTCATTCCCTTTTGAACTAGAGCAGATCCAGAGACGCAGAATCCATCACAACGCTTGATAAGTCGTTCCCCTGGTTATTTATCCTTGCTGTTAAAAATGTAGGTCTTATTTCCAGTCTGTCTAGCTTCAACACTCAGCCACTGAATCTTTACAACTTGGTTCACTAGATAGAAGAGCCCTCTATTATCAAATTTCTCTTTCCTATGTAGGTACTTATAGACTGATCAAGTCACCCAGTAACCTTCTCTTTGTTAAGAAACAGATTGAGCTCCTTGACTACCACCATAAGGCAGGTTTTCTAATCTTTTATTCATTCCCACAGCTCTTCTCTGAACGCACTCCAATTTATCAATATCCTTCTTGAATTGTGGACATCAGAACTAGAGTCACTATTCCAGTAGCAGTTGCACCAGTGCCAAATACAGAGGTAACATAACATTAAATGGGTGAAAAACTGGCTGACAGGTCTCAAACTGTAATTGTCCGCCTGGAATCATCACTGAGCAGATGTGTTTCTAGTGGGGTCCTGCAGGGATCAGCTCTGGGACCTACACTATTTAACACTTTTATTAACCACCGAGATGAAAACCAAATCATCACTGAAAAAGCTTTTAGATAAAGCAAAAATCGGGGGAGTGGTAAATAATGAAGAGGACAAGTCACTGATACATAGTAACCTGGATCACTTGGTAAACTGGATTTAAATGACTGTTATAAGAACAGCCATACTGGGTTAGACAAGTGATCCATCCCATGTCATCCATTCCCAGCTTCTGGCAAACAGGCTAGGGACACCATCCGTGTCCGCCTTGGACAATAGCCATTGCTGGAGCTATCCTCCATGAACTTATCTAGTTCTTAATCCTGCCAAATGTAAAAACATATCTAGGAACAAAGAACCTAGGCCACACTGACAGGACGGGGGACTCTATCCTGGGAAGCAGTGACTCTGAAGAAACACTTGGGGGACATGGTCGGTACTCAGATAATTGTGAGCTCCCAGGGTGACACTGTGGCTAAAAGGACTAGTACAGTCCTGGGATGTATAAACAGGGCAGTCTCATGTAGGAGTAGAGAAGTATGCCGCATTGGATTTTGTATCATTCTAGGTTGTTCGTTTTTAATCGAAATGTCATGCGTTGCCAAGTCAAATGCCTACAGAAAGCAAGTATATTACAGTACCACTATTACCTTTATCAACCAAACTTGTAATCTCAAAAACCCTCACACCAAGTTGTGTTTTGAAAGGATAGTAACCTTTGACAAAAAGGAGGTGACCCTCTATTTCCCCCACACCTCACCTCAATGTCAAGCACGGCATCCAAAAATCAATGGATTATATTAGCAAGACATTTCAACTAAAACTATTGGAAGTGAAATCTCAGAGCAACATTGAAGGTGTCATTATGTTAGCAGCTAGATAGTGCCTACATCTTAGTATCTAAGGCAGAGGTGGGCAAACTTTTTGGCCCGAGGACCACATCAGGGTGGGGAAATTGCATGCAGGGCCATGAATGCAGGGCTGGGGCAGGGGGTTGGGGTGCGGGAGGGGGTGCAGTGCGCAGGACAAGGGCAAGGGGTTGCGGCAGAGGAGGGGTGCGGGGTGTACGAGGGGGCTCAGGGAAGGGGATTGGGGTGCAGGAGGGGGCTCAGGGCAGGGAGCTGGGGGGCGGGGTGCAGGAGGGGCTCGGGCTCCGGCCTGGCGCTGCTTACCGGGAGCGGCTCCGGGGTGGCAGCACAGTACACACTGGGGCCAGGGAAGACTCCCTGCCTGCCTGCCCTGGCCCTACGCCACTCCGGGAAGCAGCTGGCACCACGTCCCTGTGACCCCTGGCGGAACGGGGGCAGAGGGCTC